CCCCCTAGTGCAAACACAGCCTCCCTGGACTGCCAACGGTGACGACACAATACTTGTTACTTCTTGCAATCATGCGTCGCCTTAAAAAAGCGGCGGGGCGGGGGGGGGCGCAGCCCCCCCACCATTTGCAAACGAAATGAGGCACAGCCTCCCCCTGCGCAAAAAAAAACTTCCTTACTGCCGACATGGTGATGATACGATACTTGTCATGTCTTCATGCATCTATTGGGGCTTATGCTTTTGGGATGATGGAGAACCCAAAAGAAGAAGGAAACGGAACAGAAATCATAACCGTGATTGTATGAGAAGTCTCTAGGGAGATTTACCCTGGCGAATGTGGTCCCAGTAGCTCCCTGCTCCTAGGGTAGGTTTGTGGCCGTCTAAGGATGTCTATGGATTCTACAGCAACCATAGAGGGATCAAGGGTCATTGTCCAATTCTTTCTATGGCTGTACAGAGCATTCAGCATCTAGGGTAAGCAACGAAACATTCAGAGCTATCCGTGCTAAACCCCGATATAAGCCGGCTTCCATTTGATGTTCCAGCTTTTTACACTTGATTCTCCACTGTTGGGTGGGCGGGTTCAAAGCCCTTCATAAACTACTTCCACACCTACCCAGCAAGGCCCCAGAGATACCTGAGCTGCGAAGAAAGTTTCCTTCCTTCCTTCCTTCCTTTTTTTGTTCCTTCCTTCCTTCCTTCCTTCCCTCCTTCGTTGCCATCCTTCCTTCCCTCTCGGTTCGTTACTTGGTTCGTGCCTTGGTTCCTTCCTTCCTTGCTTCCTTGCTTCCTTCCTTCCTTCCTTCCTTCCTTCCTTCCTTCCTTCCCTCTTTCCTTCCTTCCTTCCCACCCTCTTGCTTTCTGTGTCTGTATTTCATGCGGAAAATTTGTTTGATCCGAAAAAAATTGATTTTTAATCTGCCGTCCTTCCTTCTTTCCTTCCCACACTCTTGCCTTTTTCTGGTCATACTTCCAGCGGAAAGTTTTTTTAGGATCCTGAAAAATTTGATACGAAACTTTTGATACGCAAAAAGAAATTTGATACGCATCCCAGATAGCTCTGCGTGATTAGCTGCCAGGCAGAAGTAAAGGTAGAGACGGTTGATCCCAGAGCTCCTGGCGCAGGAACTGGTTGTAGCGATAGGCGAGGAGGCCCGCGACCTTCGCATAATGAGTCTGCGCAACCCTCAGCTCATCATCATGGATGGGACAGGCGCAATTTATGCAATCGAAGTAGTTGGCATGACAGCGAGATTAACGAAGGACGCAGACAATCGCAGATAGCACACACCTTCGAATTTTGCAACGCATCATCATGTTGGTTCGGAAGTCTGCAAGGGAGGGTTGGTTTTCCTCTTCTCGGGCTGATCACAGTCTGGTGTTAAGTGGGCGCTGCTGTGAACCATGTTTGGAATCATGCAAGATATGGCCCGTTGGCGCTTTCTCCACTCACGGCTCAAGGCTCTCCCGTAGCCAACACAATAAAAAATGGCAGCGCACCCAAAACAACACTACAGATGTAAATCCTCACACGTCAAGACGCGTTGGACACAGAAAGCGGGAGGATGTACACGGATGTGTGTTGCAATGATGCACCCCAACCAAAGTCACTGTGGATAGTGCAGGGGTCGGGCCATGGGTAAGTGTGTGTTCGTCAGACTCTCTTCTTGAAGCATATCCCTTTCTAGCAGTGTACAAGGTGGTCACCAGCTGATTCCTTGCATGACTGGGAATCAGACAGATGGTCCAGGAACATTTCGAAAGCCGTGCTCCTGATGGCATATCATGCCATGAGAGCACATGGGGCTCGAATGCACGAGCAACAAAAGCTGAGGAACCACAATGCTTTGACAAAGTAAGGCTGGAGATACCGTCGAAGAATGCATCATGAATCGCTCATGGTCTTTGAATTGGTAGAGAAAGTACTTGCTTGGCGCCCATCCTTCAGGTGATCATAGAGCTCCCTCCTTCATGGCAGATTAGCAGCAGTAATGTTCTACACACCAGTGGCAATAGCCCTGCAATGGGCAAGGTGGCAGACACGCAAAGCCATACCGCAAAGTTGAATGCCACACTGGGCCGCCTCCTAAATTACTACATATACATCTACACACATATATGAACACGTATAGAGAAAAAAAAACAAATTAGGTATTGTGTTTTTATTTTCTTTGTTTTGGGGGTCTGGGCATTCCGTAGTCCAAAATGTGAGGACGCTTCATGCGAGGGCTCAAATTTGAGCCGAAAATTGAGGACGCTCTATGCGGGAGCTCAGTTTGGTGTCACTCAAAATGTGAGGGGAGTTGCATGCGAGAGCTCAATTCCGAGCCCAAATTTGAGGACGCTCTATGCGAGAGCTCAATCTAATGTCAAAAAATGTCAAGGCTCCACGCCAAGGAGCTCGTAGAAATGAGGAAATAATGCTTGTTGTTATAGTAACCAAAGTAATCATAACAGTGAGCGATAGAACGAGAAAATGCATTCTTGACGATACTAAGAAGAAGCTACGAGCGAATAATCATGGCATTAAGGGTATTAATGCGCATAACCCTCCCGTACACTCCTTTACAGTAAACATGGCAATGACGTGATGTTTTACCATTAGCATGGTTGTCTTTAAAAAGGGAGGCCCCTTTGAACACAGCCTTCCCCTACTGCTGCCATGGTGATGACATGAATTCTTACCATAAGCATGGATGGCCTTGAAAGCGGGGGGGGGGGGTGTTGAGGGTGCGCAGCCTCCCCATTTGCAGAAAAATATCCAGACTACCCTTCCTGAATGCAAGCATGGTGATGACAAGATGCTTTTTGTTGCAACATGGACCGCGTTACAAAAGCCGGTCGCAGACCCATGGTGATGACATGATTTTTGCACCGTAACCATGGATGGCTTTAAAAAGCAAGGGATAGGGGGGGAAGCGGGCAGGGAGAGGGGGGGAAAGGGGAGGGGGAGGAAGGGAGTGAGGGAGGGAGGAGGTCCCCGCACAGCCGTTTCTTCTACTACAGACATGGTGGTGACATGTTCTCTTACCGCAAGCATGGACGGCTTTAAAAAAAGCGGGGTTGGGGGGGCGCACCCATGATCCGGACAGACTGCTCCTACTGCAAACATGGTGATGACGGGATGCTTGTTTTTCTTGCAAGCATGGATGGCAGCGCAGCCCCTCTCATTTGCCAACAAAATTATCCGCACAGCCTTCCCCCGCTGCAAACCTGGTGATGACACAATTCTTTTGGGCGCAGCTCCCCATTTGCAAACAAAAATGAATCAGAAAAAATGATGGACTAAAGGACAGAAACTCTATGAAATGGTGAACTATGAGGGCAAGATGTTGAACAATCATATACTGTGATGAAAAATGATCAAGCATGCCGTCTCCTCAGAAGCCTATGAAAGAATTATAGGCAGTGGTAATAGCCTCTTCTAATCCTTAGACACCCTGCTAAGGATACAGGAAGCCAGGAAGCCAAGAAGCCGGGAAGAAACGAGAAGCCAAGAAGCCAGAAAGCCGCCACTGCCAAGCCAAGAAGCGAGAGGCTGGAAAGCCAGAGAGCCACGAAGCCAAAAAGACCGGAAGACTGACACCAAAAACAACAACAAGAAAAAAGGCTTCAAAAGAATGCATCCCCATAAGCAATATGCTTGTATACCCATAGTCTATTGGAGACTCAATGACATGGATCGTGAGTCATGGATGAAGTGATGGATGGGTGCATGTTTGCAAGGAGAAATGAACGGATGAAATGAGCAGTGCTTACTACCCCACTGCTCCAAACGCTTTCACCCTCGTTCTCCAGTTTAGGCGTGGAACGCAGCCTGAAAGTGCTCGATCATGGCTGCTGCATCGCTACACCATGGGCCGTCTCCTCGGACAACCTGCTTTTTGGCAAGCCTACTGTGAAGTGAGGCGGGTGTGGGCAATGCACATGAGTTGAGCAACCTTGGGATCACTGAGGGCTGCCATGACGGCGTCGCTATCAGCTTCATCCCACTCACTGCGGTCTATCAGTATGTCTATCAGCTTGGCTTGTCTTGGAGACCTAGGCAGAACATCAATGCCACTTCATACTGAGGGCAAGTCACCAATAAAACTGAAGCCGTGGCAGCGTGGCAGCTGTGACAAGCGATGTCTTCAGCCGAACCGTGTCGCCAGCCTGCGCTCGCATAACACCGTGCACCATGCAGGGCACCAGTGCAGGGCATCGCGGCCAACCTGCCTGATCCAAAGCGCTGAAAGCCAAAGCATTCTGCACGAAGAGGGGCTCGCCCGCCTTGCTTGCGCTTCAGACCAACTCTATAACAGGAGAGGATCCCAAAGGCCTCCAAGTCCCTGGTGACAATGATCTTTCGGGGATGCATTGCGCCACCTCCCAGCTCCTCATCCTCTGCTTGGACAACCCTAATGGGCCCAACAGAATTGGCGAAGTTTGGGAGGAAGTAGTGAGGCGGCCTGGCCCAGACACCGGGACACACCGGACACACTGAGGCTCTGCTTGAGCAATGCACCTTGCTCCCGTGAGCACAGTCGCCGGACGGGCACTCAAATTGCACGGCCGGCATTCCTCAACAAGCATGCTTGGAGCCAGCTCAGGCTGATTTGTCCCCCGGCGCCTCTGGCTGGGCCTCCTTCTGCTCTTCTACCTTCCGATGCTCCAGCATCTCATCGCACCGCCAAACGCACTCTTGAAGTTCAACTGCAACATCCCGAACACCCTCGCCTCGGCCCCCACTTTAGGGATGATCAGGGCATGGGGCAAAACAAGAGCTGTCAGAACGTGAGCTGAGCTCCTGACCCTTGTCGTCCATGCCTGTCACTTCTTTGTATAGCTGTGCAAAGCGGACACGCGCTTCCTTGACACTGTCCATCTCCTGCAAATCATTGCAACAGGGGGATTCCAAACTGGGCGACACGGCAATCAAATGTCTCCAGACGAGGCTCCTGGGTTCCTGCTTGGGCAAAGGCTTCGGCACATCGCGGATTGAGCGAATGCGGTTCAAATGCAATCCAGCGCCGAGCAGCTTCAAGGGCCACATCCCATAACCTTCTTGAATTCTGGGGAACAACCAAACAACTTTCTTCCAACCATTAATCATCTAATGTGCCGAGCGCAGTGCTTAAGGCGCAGCCTGCCTAGAGTTAGCATCCGCCAAACCTCGGCATCATGCGGCTTCACAGCCAGGAGATCAGTACCTTGGACCAGTGCAAACTTCAGCCAAGAAAGCAAGGCCAGTGCAAAAAGACGGCTCGAATATATGAACAAACCGACGAGCAAACAACCAAAGAAACGCTAGCCAAACGCCCCCCCCTTCCCCTCTACGGGATTACTGATGGACAAGCCCAACTGGAATGTCTATACTGCATCATGTCACAGGTCTTATCCATGAGCTGTATCTCACCGCGGTCATAGGCTTCCATCATGAGCGTCTTATCAGTTCGGTACTTCTGTTCCGGATCATCCTTCATTGTCCGGTCTTGTAGCCCAATGACTTTGACATTCCTTGGCTAAGCGGACGCTGATTTGGTCCAGGCAGGAAATGCTAAGCACCAAGCATTTCCTCCAAGTCCATCCCCTGCTCCTCCAGATACTCCCTTGCCAGCTGCTGCAATTCCCTCAGTAAGCATGCACCAGCAACGCAGCATGAAATGCCCAAATCAGCAAAAAAGATTGATTGCATCCAAAAGGGCTCTTCTTGCTCAGTTGACCTGTCCCCGGCAAGGACTACCTCCTTGTTGGGCATCAGCGCTTTGATGTTTTGAACGAACTGGCCGTCAGCAGGCATCGGAAGTTCATATGTTTCGTCAATGCAGGGGCTGGTCTGTGAAACATGGCCGGCATCACATCATCTTCATCTGCCCGGCAAGCTACCCCGCTTCTCGCCTCACCAAGACATGTGTTTGCAAGCAGTCAACAGAACAAGACAACTTTCATTGCCATGGCCTCTTTAGGCGACCTCGAGATCAGGCGAGGAAGCGGCAGTCCTGCCGACATCTGCCGACATGCAAAACTCTGCGAAACGCAACGCAGCGCAACGCTCCAGGGTTGGCTCGAGGGCCTCTGCCAGGGGCAGATCGGCGCCAGGATCTCAGCGGAAACACACTACAGCACCCAAAGCACGCAGTCGAAAACCAGCCACCCTCGCCCGTGCTGCCTCTGCCTCCGGAGGAACACGGATGCTGGCAGCGCTGGCAGCGCTGCCAGCACGGCACCCTCCACACCCCTTGTGCTGAAGCTTGAGGTCTGCGGCTTCCTTGGGCAGCTGGGTGAGGAGCCGCCCCAGGACCTCCACTTCCAGGCAGAAGCAACCGGCTTTCGACGGCTTTGCTGGAAGTTCAACCTGCTTTGGAGAGCCTTGTGCCAGTCTCGGCACACCAGGGGAATGGAGCCCACATGATTCCAAAGCTTGAACCAGTGAACGCGCAGGCAAAGTTTGGCACAGCGATTGTCTCCACAAATCCCCACAAATCCTGGCACAAGGTGCTGGTCACAAATTTTCCTACTTCCGCTAAAGATGAAGGTCTGCGCCACAAACCACATCTGGCGAAGCCATAACATGTGGTGGAAACCACGCACCTAAGCCGAACTGCTACCGGGCTCGACCATTAGAAGTGAGACAGGGAACTTGGAGCTTGCGCTCCCAAACATGTCAACGATGCTACTCAAACAGCACAACATCCTTCGAGACACACTCTTCCAGGCGTCTCTGCGAGTCCGACTTCTCCATTACAGCACGGCCCGCGGGGAACGGCACGTGAATTCGCAGGATGCAGTTCTCATCAGCTTGGTAGTGTGGCGACGTTGTGTCGCCCTGCGCCGCTAACAAAGGGTTACTGGCCGCCTTCTTCTTATGCGACTGCGAAAGTCTGCCGCATAGGTTCGGGCCCCACTCTGCATCCCCTACATCACTTTGACCACTGACCCTGGACAACTGCCGCTCGAAGAGCTCCGCAAAACGTTGGCAGGTATTCCATCGGCTCTCATGGCGCCTAAGCCAAGCAAAGTCCACTGCCCCTGCCTCATAAGCTGTGGTGCTACAGGACTGAGGCTAGGACCCGTTGAAGAAGCCGAAGCTTGGAGGCTCGATGGCACCCGAGGCGATCTCCCGGAGCTCCTGCTCGTTCATCATAACGATGCGGATGCGGAGCATGCCGACGTCGTCTTTGCCCACGGGCTTCAGGGGTGTGATGAACCATCGCCCCGAAGCTTCGGTCTGAGCACATGTCAAGGTAAAGACATACCAGGCACTCTGATAATAGGACTCCACGCGGCGAGCCTCATTGAAGAATACATGATATGGTGCAAAACAGGAGCTCAGATGGTTGGTGCACGTAGTGAGCACATGCCACTTGTCCTCCTGCGACATCTGTGTGACTAGAAATGGCTCGTTCTTGGCCACAGCCTTTTCGGCCGTGCTAAGTACGTTGGCCAACACAAACTCATTCTTGAAGACTTCTGAAATGGGCTTCACGAACAGCGTGCGCTTCTCCACGCGGCCCAATGATTTCAGATGCTCGGTCGTGAGAAGGACAGCCTACCGCGGAACATGGTATGACTGGCATCTGCTTTCAGCTGACCTGCTAATGGTTAGGACAAACTTTGATGGGCTTTTGACTTGAATGCTCCTTCACCTAAGCTTGAGAACTTTCTTGTCAAGTGTGACCAGGCAGCAAAACAAAATGATCTCAAGGTTGTAAGCATGAATGCACGCAGGCAGTCACAAAAACTGAGGTGGGCAAAACAAGTAGCATAATTGTAGAACATGTCGGTTCCACAATGACGGCTTGCAAAGGTTTGCATCCTTCTCGGAGGAGACTACAAGTAAGGCTTGGCCTCTAAATCAAGGTCTTGACTCGACCCAACACATAGGACTCCACAAACCCAATGCCTACTACTGTGGATCCGCCGTATGTGCAAACAGGCGTGCCTGAACAACACTCAGGTCCACGTGTCTACGCCACAGTGACTCAGCCTCCTGTCTGTAGAACCTCCGGTAGAGGTCCTCAAAAATCTGAGCACAAGATCTATGCCGACGAAACGACTAGCAGCGAGACCGTCCTGCAGGTACCTGAGGAACATGGCGATAATTCCACCGGCAACCATTGCCCATATTGTTCGAGAAGATGTGGTTCTAAGCCTTGCAAGTCCCAACACAAACAATCGATTGCTCTCGCGAGACAAACTGGTCAGGCCATGTCTGCCCCTGTGTGTCAGCACTTCCAACCATCCGGGCGACCTCCTCAAGAGCGAGGACAGCGCAAACCGCCGCTGCGTGGCAACCGCACTAGCAGAAGCCATGCCTAAAGGACTCACAAGGACCACAATCCTTCTTTGGGAGCCGCATGCTTGTAGAAGCTGGCAACTTGCGCACGGCACCAGTGCAGACTCCGTGCTGCGACTACACAAACAAAACCGCCCGCATTTGTGTCCACGTAGCAAACGAATCATGGCAAGGTTGGCGCATGGGCCCGTTTGGGCATGCGGAAGAAAACGAAAACTGTAATTCAAAGCAGTTATCTACTAAATCTTGACTATGCTTTCCGTCATTTCCCCTTCCAGGGTTCCAGGTCGATTCTCTGGAACACTGGTGTTGGCTTCGGCCCAGCCTCAAGGCTGAGAAGTTGCTCTTGCCACAAAGGGCACTGCCTGAGGCCCCAGCAGCCAGCCCGGGAATCCTCACCACAGTCGAGTGAGTTGAGTGACTCACAGCCAAAATCCAAGGCTGTCTGCCGCCCAAGGTTCACTTCCCATGACCAAGAAGTTTGACTCCAAGCCAGGTCTCCTGCCACGTCAGTCAAACGCTCAAGGAGCAGGCCTGCATGTGCGAATGACCTTCGGCGCCAAGACCAAATTCGTCCAAGATCTTCCTGCTGAGCTGGGGAGTCACCGGCGACAGTAGCACGGCACAGATCCGGGCACCTGCACTTAGGCATGTGTTCGCTTTGTACGGGGTCTAGTCTAATGAAGAGATGCCAGGCCACCTTCTGCCATCATAAGCAGTTCGCACAGCGCTTCCTTCTTATCTTCCTCGCTGCTGTTCTTCTTGAGCTTGGCCCATGGCTCAACCTGCAACCGGCGAAACGTGGCAACTCTACACACCAACTCCGCCGACCGACGCTCCTGAGCTGAAGACCTGTTAAAAGCTGGGTGTTCGACAGACTTGACCAAAAGATCTGGGATGAGAGACTCTCTCTTAGAGACTGCCTCAAGGTGAAGTTGGGGACTTCACGGTGCGTAGTTTCTGCTTGATCAGGCCCAGCCCTTCAGCATGTTGAACGTGCTGGTTAAGATTCTTAAGACGAGCTCTCTGATCTTGATCCCAAGTACACTCCAGATCAAATATGTTTGTTTAATGATCTTGCCCCGCCCTGAAAGCCTGCTCAGAAATTGATTGCACAGAAAGAACCAGACATACTCAGATGCCTTGCTCGGAGGGTCGCAGGAGCAGATGGCAGACGGTAGGTGATATGCAGTCTGGGGTCATACTCAAGATGTGCCCACTGGGGCGAAAAGGGCCAAGTCAGGCCAGTCCAAGCCTTCTGAAAGCCCACGTGCAGTCCAAGGCGTTGAAAAGCAGACTGTGTCTCAACCTATGCTCCACTCTCACAAGAAAAAAGGAGACAGATCAAAATTTTTGGGCCCGGAATCCTGAAAACGAATTCAAGAAGCAAAGCAGGAGCGCGAAAGGATCACCTAGAAGAATCTGGACATGCCTGGGTCATCCTGAGGTTGCCCACGCCAACCAGCTCGAAGACAGCCAGCATGGCCTCTTTCGTGTTCTACTTCTATGATTCTATGAGAAGCACCAATTACTGAGGGACAGCCTTGGGAATGTCTAGTTGCTCGTAGTGGCGGGCGACTTCTGCTGGAGCCCGCAAGGAAGCGAGACGCACCTGAGACCAGAATCTCAAATCTGATTCTTGTCAACCCTGTCATAAGAAATGACATCACGCCACTGGGTGGCGGGCAGGGTGGTTGTCAAGGCTTCCTGTTGCCAAATCATTCGGAGAGCAAGCCTCCTCCAAATTTTTGCGGGACAAGGTGAGGATGCGATGCACCAGGTTTCCAAGCTCGTTCGCTAAGCTGCCTTGGCAGCATCTGCTAACAGCTTCAACAAACTTGGTCAGCGACAGCCAAATCAAACTTTGCATATTGCGGCGGAGGCACTGTTAACCCTCTTGATGAAGGTCTCATAACTGAAGTCCCCATCCTCCCCGAAAGCCAGGCACCCGGCAAAAAAAAATCGAACAGCATCCGGACCAAAAGACTGCACCAGTGGAACTGGCTCCACCACATTTCCCAAGGACTTGCCCATTTTCAGGCCATCCTTTGTCAGAAAGCCATGCGTGCAAATGTGTTTTGGAAGGGGCAGCCCTGCAGACATCAGCATGGCTGGCCAGTATATGGCGTGGAACCGCATGATATCCTTCCCGATGACATGGACCTCGGCAGGCCAGCCCCGCGAGAGAACCGCATCCAAGGTGGCTGGGTCGTCGGGTTGCAGCAATGAGGACAGGTACCCCAGGAGCGCATCAAACCAGACGTAAACAACCTCAAGAGACTCAAGAGGGCCATGCTCGCTCATATTTCCATGTCAAACGATCACAAAGTTGGCCCTAAAAAGGATGGATACTGGTTTAGGGGCAGGCAACTTGCGAGTCGTCACCTGGAACAGGGATTCCCCAAGAAGTGCTGGCACGCGAGATTGAGAAGTCGCGCTTGTTATCATCTTCAAGCCAGATTAAAATCTGACTACGCCGGCTAGTCGGCAAGATGAAATCTGGGTTTTTCTCAATATGCTCCCGGATGTCATCCCAATATTTGGAAAGCCGGAAGAAATAGTTCTCTTCAGTGCGTAATATCGTCGGCTTCTGGTGGATTTTGCAGATGTTTCCCTCTAACATCTCATCTTTGTCCAAGTATGCTTCGCATCCGACACAATAATGGCCCGTGTAGTCCTTCCTGGGCACAGGCAGCTACTACTCCTCTCACATCAAGAAACCGCGGCCAGGCAGAAACTCTTGCAATACATGGAAAGCTTAAGCCCAAGTACTTGTAAATGTCTCCATTGTCTAAGCACCGCTGCCACATCTCGCGGACTATCGCCTGAAAGTGCACATTCCAAAGCCTTTTGAGGGCATTGTCCGTCGTTTTAAAGAGGGAACTCACAAATTTCTGAATCTTGTTTTGACACATGCTCTGCTCACACAATCAATAGGTTTTAGAAGCCCTTTCTCATTCTTGCAGGATCATGTTTGAGTCGTTTTTTTATCATCTGTGTTTCAATCTTTTGCTTGGCTTGCGAAGGCTTCCTCAACAAAGTCAGCCCGCATGCGAACCAGATCATCATGCATAGCGCTGCGGCACGTTGCCGGGCAGCCTACCAGCCCATTTTTCATTGCCAAGCATAACACAAACAGGGTCACTCGTCCTCTCGCTCCCACCCTAAACTAGGACAGTGGTGGACGGGCGGAAGAAGGGCAAGCACTAGGAAAGGACAAGGAGAATGACTACTGCGGACATGAGGTCTGCTGTTCTGCGACAGGTGATAGATAGCTTGTCTTATCTTCTGAGGCAAGGAAAGCTGGCCTGCATGCTTTTAAAGTTTTCAGGCGTCGGCGACAAGGCAAAACGAAGCACATATTGCTCGACAGCACTTAGTTTGCAAATTAAATCGAAAAACCCCATAGATGCAAGAAGAAGCTAATGACACAAACAATAATTACGTCAGGTCAAATGTATCATGCACCTCCGAAAGTGCTTGTGGCTTAAAACCGCTCGGCCTTGTGCCTGTCTGGCGTGGTCCGCGCAAAGTGGTTGGCCTCCACGTCCAACAAGCTCCATAGCTCCTTGACCCACACGTGAAGCAGCATACTCAGGAGTCTTCAGCTGACCTGCCTGAAACTCTTCCGCGATGCTATCCACCATCTCTTGCGGGGTTTTGTTGTTGGTTGCCTTGCGGGAGGCATTGTCCACGAAACCAACCGTCAGGAGCCTGCTACCTTGCAACAGTGTCACTTAAAACGGCCAGGCACCGCTGTTTGTGCAATCTTCTCGCCATGCTCATCCATGCCCGTGACGTAGTGCACTTCTGCTCCGTGCAATTTGGCATACCGGGCTAAAACGTCCGATGCAATGGCAGGGTATGCGCTACCTCAGTGCGTATCAATGGCACTCCAGTGTCGCACTAACAAGATCTGACAAGCTGAGACGCCAATATGGGGAGACCCATTGGCATAAAACAAAGGGGTTGTAATGGTCAACTTCTCCACCTTACCTGAAAGGTGCATGAATTTCCAAACACTTTGCAGGGACAAGGGAACAGCCAACCTGCTCCATCACGTTTCAACTGCAGTTGCGGATGCTTCTCTGAGGATGCTCGGCCCTGGCATTCCATAGAAATTGCACTGCCAAGTCTACCCCAACCAGCCCTAGCCTCCGACACTTCATCCAATGCAGGTTCTGCAGTGGTGGATGTGGCCAAAGCACACCGATTCAATCGTGCAAATCGGTATGCCTGTCATCCGGACAACATTGGACATGAGTCTTACTTTTTAATAGCTCGTGCAGCGCTGCCTGTTTGCTAGATGTGCTGGAGTGGCACTTGTAGCAAAGCAAGCTCAAGCCCGCCATCAACCCGGCATCTCTGACCACGGCCGCGCGCCCAGCCCTCTGGCAGGCTTTGGACAATGCCATTTGGCTATGTGCTCTGAGCGGCACGGAGGCTATATTCCATTGCGCTACTGCCGGCTGCCTCTGCAAGGGCAACATGCTACGGCAACACTGGGGCCTAAGGCCCAGAGGTGAGGCGGCTCAGCAGAATGGCATTGAACAGCAAATCGCACATTCCAGGATTACAAGCAACTGGCATCCCTAAACCACACATCCTAGACGAATGCGGTGGATGGATGACATTTGAAGATCCCAGGCATGCTGTAAGTACAAAGGTTGCACAAGATGTCCACCATCCGCCGTATGAAAATGCTTTGCCAACATGTTTTCAACATTTCACAACAAGCACAGCTAGCAGGTTGCAGGTCAACTCCGCATTGGCAAGGTGTTATCCAAACCCTTATACCAGCATATGCATTAATTGTAGCCGTACACCTTGCCATGCAGTATCACTCCTAGCCTTCCCCGGCCGCGAGTGCTATGGCCTGCGAAAACCTCCTGCTGCCCTGCTCGGTCCATATCTGTGCGAACGTGCCATGTTAGTGAGCTCGCTTGCTCACGCAGCATCCACAAAAATTAAACAGTGGGAGCACCTCTTCGGAAGCTCTGGCAAGAAACTCACTGGTATATGCAATCATCTGGATTTCTCACGCTTGGCGTCCTTGGATCTGATCTTCAAATGCGGTTTCATGACGTTGGGCTTTCTGGTCTCGGTCTTCAGCCACAATGGCGGGCCAGCATTCTTCTTCCTCACTGCCTCAGCCCATGCCATCTGACGCGTGCAAATTGTATGGGCACGAGGCTTATGTAGAAAGGTTCGTGAACTTGTCCTTCTTTCTGGCTACGGCATATGATAACTGTGATCCCATCCAATGGTTTTCGAAAAATGGCATCGCTTGGGTTGCATTTTCAGACAAGACGCTGGATATCGCTTCGTCCCAACATCTCCACGACATATCCCTTGCTCTTTGAAAAACTCATCCGTGCTCTTCTCGTCCTTGTTATACATCATGTCCACCTGCTACATGAGCTTTCAAAATGTCGCACGGTCTCACAAAACGAACGCGTCCGCTGCCTGCCAACTTCGAGGGATGGGCCGCAGGGTCCGGAAGATCACTGCTGCTTTGTCTCCACCGCGCTTTAGCAAGACATCCTCAGCTCTTGCAGGTGGCGAGGACAAATTGGGATTCTTACGTGAGGTCCCGGCACTATTTGGTGCAAAGTCGATGGTGGGCACCTCATTGGGACCTGCCCACGGATCGATGAACAGCAGCAGCAATAGCGAACAAGAGCAAAACATCAGACATAGCGCTACACACTACACACCCGACCTGGGCAGGCACAAAATTTCAAAAGGGATCCATTGTATGGCACTGCGTCAACCATGCCCCTTGTGGTCTCCAATGCCCACTCCATTCGCTTGCGCGGCATCTTCTTCTTGGGCAACAGTTTTCCTGAAGCAGCCGGACCGCTCAAGCGAGTACAACTCCAGTTGCAATGTTGCGCTTGGCATCGAAAGTAATCATGAGTACAAGTGGCACCAACAGAAGGCACGTGCAGCATACCAAGATTGGCAGTTACATCTTCGAAGACGAAAATGAGGAGCTGACCCCACCATGCTACGTAGTACCCTTTTGGCAAGTTCCGCGTGGCAATCAAAATCTTGCCGAACCGTGGATGCTTTACAGCCTTCAATGAAGGGTCACCGGTCTTGATGCCTCAGTCAACCGGTCTCCAATCACCCGTGCCAGTAATCATGGTGTAACGAAAGATCTTGCATCCTGTCTGCTTCCGAGCCACACTGCGTGCAGTATGGGATGAGTTTTGATGCCCTTGCACGCGGACAAGCTTTGCCGGTCCGGGATGTCGACAGACATCCATCACTCTTTGGCAAGTGCTGTCCACTTGCTGCAAGCCGACCTCATTTCAGCAGGCTTTGTACGTGCCCCACTTAATACCGACAGGGTGCTTCGCCTGCCCAAATGCATATCATATACATGTGACTTGAACATCCATCCTACTATTCCACCGACCCATTCCTGAGGAACCTACAACGGCCGGACGATGAAGCTGATCTCGCCATGGCAAACACCACAACAAAACGACTCGATTGAGGGGGTGTGACTCGGTGAACGAAAATGGAAGACTTGCTTTGTCTTGTTAAATGATGTTTTTATGAAGCTCTGTCGTGACGACCTACTGCCACGCCGCTTCTACTTCACCAAATGACTGCGTGTGGGCACATAATCTGCGTTCCAGACTGCCAAAAAATTGGTTACATGGAACCTGAGAATATGATATGAAATCTATCAAGCATAGTTACGCCATGCTGTTGTTCTTTCCGCCATCTCAAGGAAGCGTTTTTATGATGCATCACTACCAACCACGGCCGTTTTTCCAAGCCGCGTGCGTACCTTTGCATCACATACCTACCCAAAAACCGACTTGCCACATGGCAAGCAAATGCTCCAATCCCTTTCAAGCAAGTGCATGGTCGGTGTGTCAGCAAGATTCAGCAAGGCCTGCTTACAGGCTGACTCTTTACACCCGTTAGAACATCAAGCAAAATCTTGGACAAATGGCACGATTAAAAATACTGCGGAAAAATGCCATGATAAGCTGAAGTGGTTTGTTTCACACCAAGCCCATATTGGGATCCATATTTCTGACCCTCCCTTGCCACGACCAAGCCCGTTTCTTGTTTACCCTGATCCTGAACACGAGCTTGGGCCAATTGATGTATGGCAGCATGGAGCAAATGGCACTTGCGATTAATATTACGATGAGCCATATCCAAATTATTTGGACTAATTCCCCTCACGACCCGCCAGCAACAATATCGTGCTTTCGAAGCGCTGTTGGTGGAGTAGCTTTCTGATTCATAAGTTGGGCGAAAATCAACATGAACGGCCTGAAGGCATACATGATCATGTGATAACAGAGCGGGTGATGTTTTTTTGCAAACGTTGCTGCCACAGCTTTTGTAACTTATTCTGAATGTCTAGCAAATATTCACACAGGCTTGGCACAGTGACAGCCAGGTGCCGGTTGGATTTTCGTTCATGCTGTGGTTTTGTGCGGCAAAAACCTCGTAAAATCATTTTCAAACAGCACAAATCGGCAAGGCGTGCCAGCAGCCCTCAAGGTAGCAAGATTTTTTTTGCACGATTGTACATTGTCACGGGCGTGGGGAAATTGGGCTCGGAAACCGACAAGGGTTCGGGACCCAAACCACACAAGGTAAAATCGAGATAGGTTGATGCGAAAGCCTTCGCTACCCAAACCCCTCAAACGCCTGAATCTGGAGCCAAAACGTGCATTGGAGAAGTATGAGGAAAAAAATTGCATGGATGGCAAGGCTGGACAAATCCTCGATTGCTGGACAGGCAACGATTGGATGATGATGATTTTACGCGATTTGGGTGGCTTTCGTGTTTTCATACTACAAGATGCGAGATATACATACATATTTATATAGTTGTTTTTCCTACTTGCATTTCTGGGTGAGACCTGTTGGTCCAAACTCCAACCGCAGTGTACGGCTCTCTTTTTTGTATCTTATGATTTTGCCAATCCCAGACACTAGCATTGTCCCATCGACAATCCACAACGGGTACCTGGCCGAAATTACTGATTGATTGGCATGCTCTTGCACAAACACGCAGCAATACTGGCAACGAGAAGCCTGGGTTTTGCAAACAACCGACCACTTTTGAAGAGCAATTCCCGCGGGAATTGCCGAATTCCAGAAAGCACATAATTGATGTTTCAATCCTCAATTGAAATGGGGACCGCAGGGAGGCTTCGACGTGCAAAGGCTTCAGCCAAGCAGCTGGCAAGCGAGGGATTGCCCGATTTCGGTTCATGCGCGGGATGCTCAGGATTTTTTTTTTTGGAAATCAATCCAACATATGTGGTGTTGTCAAATAGCTGTGGAGTGGGCGCTGTGGCGCGAACCTGCTGCTGCAGGCCATTGTATCTGGACTTCGTGTTGGTTTGGAATTGTTCCGGACTCTCCAAACAAAACGACATCACGATGTGGAATCAGTAGCAAATCACCTTACCATGTCCACCACACAACATTTCCGGTTGATTTACCTTGACAAATGGTTACTGTTGTTCCTGTGCGCGGCCCCGCTCGGGGTCGCGATTCGTCGCCCTTGGCACATTTGATCCTCGGGGCATTCAAACATATCAATAGTCACTCACAAGTATCGCGGGGCTCAGGGTCGCAACCCTCCTAGCTGCCACGCTTTTGGAACAGGTGGAAGGTCGCCGGGTTGGGCCGCGATCCTTGTAAATGTCGTGGTTTTTTGGACCCTTGGGTCCTCTTGGTCTTTGAGGGGTTTGAATTTTGTTCTTTGCTCGTGCCTTTTTCTTTTTTTTTCGGCGGACCTCTTTCCGAACTGTTGTCAGCCGTCAGCCCTGGGTTTCCGGCTACCTGTGCTGCCCTACTCGCCTCTCAGAGGGAGCCGGCTCGGCCCCGCAGGAGGCGCGAGGTCGAGCACGCTCTCCAGCGGCGGCTCTGCCAGCCCGTTCGGGTGCGGTGGTGCCGGCCACGCGCAGCCCAGGGCCGTGCTTGCGACCGCTTGCTGGACTGCGACTGCCAGCATACCCCACCAACGCCTGGACCACCCCGCAGCGGCGGCTGTCCTGATGGCGGGCGGGGCCCGGTGGGCGCGTACTCGCACAAGGTCCCGCACAAAGCGCGCCGCCTCGCCATTCCAGCGCCCGCCGACTCCCCCGCAATCGATCTTAGCGCGGTGCCCGCATTCCCACAGGCCATGCACAGAAGAACGGGTTGCCTCATTCGGCGCAGCACCTCTGTCATGCGCTGTCCGGCATCGTTTAGCGCAGCGGCAGCCGGCTTGGCAGCGCGGCCTCAGCGGGGTCCAGGATGCCTGCCAAAGGGATGGCATCAGCGTCTCCTGGGATTGCCGGCGTGCTCCACGTGCCCAGCA